CAGTTGTGGCATTATTAGTTTTCTGAATCAAGGTTTTGTTATGTAGCCCAGAATGTCTCTCCAGTATAGATCATGGTGGGCTTGAACTCATAATCCTCTTGCCTCAGCATTCTGAGTACTAAGGATAGAGATGTCCAACACTATCCCCACTCAGTTTCAATCTTTATAGTACTACTACAAATATTAATTCATTCAGTGTATTCTGTATACCAGATATCTAAAACAGTGATTACACAACCCCATGGGATAGCTCTTAAAACATTTGCCCTAAATATAAGGAAGTCTATCATTGCATTGCTGGGGGTTATGACTTCTCACAAATTTTGATTTCCGTGGTCACAGGATCTGTTCATTACATCAACAAGCTGTTGATGTCCTCTTTGTACTGATAAATACTTTATTTTCATGGCTAGGACATTTGAATTTAACAGCACAAATTTGAATTGTAACTTTTCTATCTTGAAATTCTCAAAAACTACCTTTCTCACTGGGACCTGCACAGAGATTTAAGTGTTTATCAGGGTCTGACAGGGTAGGTCAGCAGGTGATGTGCTTGCCGTCCACCTTGAGGACCCAAGATTGATCCCCAGTATCCCATGGGAAAAAAGCTAGTTGTTGGGTTGTGTATCTGCTACCTGAGGACTGGGGAGGCTGAGAATTAGGATCCCAGAAGCTCAGGAACCAGCCAGCCTAGCTGAATCAAGGAGCCCTATAGTCTGTGAGAGATCGGTGTAAAAAAAGCACAAAGCAAGAGTGTCCATTCCTGAAGAAAGACACTGAAGGTTGACCTCTGCCCTTCATATGTATGTTCACTGACATGCTCACCTTCCCAGGCCACATCTGCATACATGCATGCATATGTACATGTAAACATATGCATTCACAAACCCTGCCTCTCTCCATCCCATTCTCATGTTAATGGATGATATCTTTGAAGGGCCACTCATCAAAGTCACATCTACCAAAGTCAAAATTATTGTGACTTAAAATAAATACATAACTTTGGAAAGTTACTCAGATTTTATAGCCCTCATCCTCATAGACTAACTATCAATGATGAGTCAAGATACTTTAAAATTAAAACTAATATATGCATTCTTAACTTTTGTCTACTGTAAATGAAAAAGTCAGATTTTTGAAATTTTTATATATCTTTCCAATATATCTATGTAAATTCAATTTTATAAAAATAACATAAATTAGTTTCCACACCAATCTATGATAATTTTTCCTGTGTGATATTCGAATGTTTAATTCCTGTGAGTAACCCATGTCTTCTTCTACCTTTAGTTGACATTCTAGCACCTTTTTGTTATTTCAGATTTACTTATTCTACTCAGTAACTCACAAACCTTTGTCTTGGAGATTCTAAGTGTGGCCTAGAAGTTTATGTTCATAGCAGTCATAACATCTGGAGTCTAACTACAGGGGCTTCAATTCATTTTCTATTAGAGACCAACTTCTCATCTGTAAAGTTAAACTGGCTTGCTTCCCTTCTAACAGGTTGTTAAGGAAATGTAAGTTGGTCAGTGGAGCACATAAAACAGCAGGAGCACTCTGTGTCCAGGGCAAGGACCTCCCCCTCTCCCACCCTAGGCCACATACATAGTTCCTTCATGTAATGTTGTAGAATTCAGCATTGGTAATGGAGTGATGGCTCATCAGTGTAGTATTTTCTCTATGTTACACACTGGATGCTTTTCCTGTGTAAAATGAAAAATTATCCCAGGAGACCATTTTGCTCCCTTCCATCACTGCCAGCATTTCATCTTGGAGAAACCAGTCACCTTGTCCAAAAGAGAAGACTGGAGCTGGGGTCCAGAGCTGATTTCTGAAGTCTAGCTAGAGCTTAGTGAGCTGCATGGTCCTTACCTGGAAAAGCCACAGTGAAAATCAAATAGGGGGCTGGAGAGTTGACACAGTGGCTAAGAGCACTTGTTCATTTTGCCTAGGACCTGGCACTCAGCCATCTACATCTCCAGTTCTAGAGGATCCAATGTCCTCTTCTGATGTATGCAGGAACCAGGCACACATGTAGCACACAGACATTCATGCATGCAAAACATTCATATACACAAAATAATAAAATGAAAAAAAAACAAAACTCCAAACCAAATAGGAGCCTAACCTTCCCCACCACTCCTTCCTTACAAATCTAGGCTTTGCCATAGTAGATTTTCACACCTTTGCACTTTTGGGGCCTATTACCCTGCATTCTTCCCAAGTTTGCTAGTCATCAGTGTTTTTCCCCAACCCTTCCCTTTTCTGCTAAATTTGGTGTCCTTAGTCTGATTGGGAGGCAGTCATTTCATTTGTCTTGCCTTTCCTAGCATTAGTTAACAAACATTGTTTTAAATATGTAGGTGTGTAATATGAGTGTGGATGTATGTGTTCATGTGTGTGTAGGAAGAACATGTGTTTGGTGTGGAAAACAAGCTTGTGTGCTGTTCTCCTTTGAGACAAGGTCTAGAGCTCACAGACTAGACTGACTGACCAGGGGGGCAGCAGGGGGAGCCTTTGTCTATAGTCCCAGCATGAGGATGGCAAGCGCCACCTCCTTGTCCAGTTTTGTCTCATGGGTGCTGGGGATTGAACTCAGATTCTCCTACTTTCATGGCTAGCATTTTACTGGTCTTTACATTTTAATATTATTTCTTGGTCTCTACTGCATGTGCCTTCTTGTGTGAACTACCAGGTTTAATGTCAAATACATTCTTAGAAAAGAATTTATTTTTGCCTGTAAACAATTTTCAGCAAGAATAAACACTAATGCTTGGTTTCCTGGGTGAAGAATGTTCTTCTATAAAAATGAGGCAATTGTACTGAGTTTCTCCTTTTTCCCTTCAATTTTTTGACTGCTAAACACAACTGTTGAGCAAAACGAGATTTCATTTGTGTCTTTTTTTATCCAGAATTTAAACTATTCTGATTATGATATAAAGTGTATCCTCCATGTTATTTAAAATTTTTATTTATTTATTTATGGTGGCTGACGTGCCACACTTGCAGCCAAATAAAAAAAGAAAAACTTACATAGTAGAGTATCCCCAATCTTTAAAATAGTACTTCTTAGAAAATATGGGCACTTTTCTTAGAAAGATTTTTCATAGATATTTCAATGTTTTCATCCTGTCATTTAGCCTTTTACTCTAATTTTTGCTCATCATACAATAAATGTGGTAATGCATTGTTTATGACCTAATTAAGCCACTGGAGACAGAATTCAAAGCTAGCCACAGCCATAGAAGCTGGGCAGAGGTGGCACATACCTTTAATCGAGGACTCAGGAGGCAGAGGCAGTATTGAAAGTTAGTTGGAACAGTAAAATTCTGAACTCATAGGTTCAAATCTTGACCTCATACGGGAAGTCTCTCCTCCAGTTTACTTTCAGCATTTATTGTTTTGAAAGAATTCTGTAATGCTCTTAGCAATTGTCTCCTTGATGTGCCATAATTCCCTTTGTGTTGCATTTGGCATATGGCCCTTATGACAAAAATTAAATATGCACTAAGAAATAATTCCTGGGAAGTCAAAATTGTGCTGTGTGACTTGGAACTGGAATCTAATTCCATGTAGCAAACATGGGGTATGGCTTCCCCTATGCAGACATTTGCTATAACTCAGCATCTGCACTGATCTAAGATGTCACAAAGCAAATGTCCTCACAGTGATCGTTGCTGGAACAGTAAATAACTAGTCAACTCCCACTCATAAGAAAGACACATTATTTCCATTTTATATGTCAATTTGACATTAGATGTGAATATTTTTGAAAGACAGATTAAAAACAGTGGCCTGACATTGTCTAAAAAGGCCTCAGGAAAGAAACAAAAAACGGTGTTTGGAAACAGTGAAACTGGTTTTAGTGACTTGTGTGAAATGTTCTCAAAGCAACCTAGACATGTTGAAAAGATGCAAAGACTTTGGGGAAAGCCATGTCAACTCCTTACTCTCTGCCTTGCAATTGGGATGGCTTTTTTCTTTACCCCTCATGTCTACTGTCTCCCAAGTGCATTTGTTCCTTTGAAAGTCTTACTGAGAAGGAGACACATGAAATCTTTAGGGGTTTACTTTTGAGAAAATAGAACAGCCCAGCATGGGATGCTGTGGTACTAATTACACATATCTGAGCCCTCCTCAATGCCATCCACATCCATCCCCAGTGCATACTCTCCCTTCCCCTTCCTCTAGTCTGAAAAATGATTTAGCTGCTAAATTTATTACAAACTCAGTAAATTTAATGTAATATCAATCCAGACAACCTGAATCTCTCAACCAGGACAGACAGACAGGAAGGAAGGAAGGAAGGAAGGAAGGAAGGAAGGAAGGAAGGAAGGAAGGAAGGGGAAAGGAAAGGAAAGGAAAGGAAAGGAAAGGAAAGGAAAGGAAAGGAAAGGAAAGGAAAGGAAAGGAAAGGAAAGGAAAGGAAAGGAAAGGAAAGGAAAGGAAAGGAAAGGAAAGGAAAGGAAAGGAAAGGAAAGGAAAGGAAAGGAAAGGAAAGGAAAGGAAAGGAAAGGAAAGGAAAGGAAAGGAAAGGAAAGGAAAGGAAAGGAAAGGAAAGGAAAGGAAAGGAAAAGAAAGGAAAGGAAAGGAAAAGAACTAATTGTCCATGCTTCCTTATAAAATATTTATTTTAACCAGTGCTGGAGATCAAACTCTGCCAGAGCCAAGCCCTGGCCCAGATTTTAGTTTTGAAAAAAATGTTCACATGTTGGATGCCTGTGCCTTCCCTTTGATGTTGGTTAGCAATGAACTCCCAGCAGGGGTGCTTCCTCCCTCCCAGTATTTTCCACTTGCCTCTGAAACAGCATGTGAATTGTCTTTTGACTAGATAGCATTGACTATGTTGGGTCAACTGTGACAGATTAATTTTGTTCTATTCTTTCGAACCCCTATTTTTTTTTTAATGTGTGTAATGTCCCCCCCCTGCCTAGACCTGGTTAACCGTTTCTGTGAGCAGGTCCTCAGTTTTTTACTTTGTCCCTACTTTCCTGTCCTAGCCCCATCTTCCCCCGGTGTCGACTCCGTCCCCTTGCAGCGCACAGGCAGCCAGCATGGGCCACAGAATGCCGCCGCAGCCACCTTCCAGAGGGCCAGCTACGCTGCTGGCCCAGCCTCCAACTACGCAGACCCCTACCGACAGCTGCAGTATTGTCCCTCCGTTGACTCTCCGTACAGCAAATCTGGCCCTGCCCTCCCACCCGAAGGCACCTTGGCCAGGTCCCCATCCATTGACAGCATTCAGAAAGACCCCAGGTGGGTAAAAACATATTTATTTACTCTGCGATGTATAAAGAGGTTTTGATAACCCAGTCTTCTCTTGGAGCGCTCTGTGACGTCATTGCCTTCGTCTTCTTGTGATTGGCTGAGAATGAAAATACTGGCTTTTCTTGGGTTTTACATTTTTTTGTTTGTTTGATGTGAAATATGGACACATAGGATGGGCTCCTGATTTCTCCCGTGGGTCCATGCCCAGAAGTAAAACATAAAGAACCATTATAAGAACAACTTCGGATCTGGAGGGGGTCTCCTGTGAAGTGGATGTGATGCAGAGACAGGGACTGGGCAAAGGTCTCACCTTCAGTGCCATTGCCAACCTCTGTCTTTCTGTTTATTAGAATATAAAGATCCCCCAAAAAACTATTCTCAGATTTGAGAAGTCAGAGATTAGTTGTTTTGGAATGGTTAAGAATTTGGCTGAGGATCATTGGAGAAATGACTCGTAAGGTGCTTTTCTCTTTCACCTTCTCATTTCCTGCGGCAGCAGGGGTTTGCATGATGCTCTCCACCTCTGAATTTGGGACTGACTCCCCGTGGATTTATGTAGATGCTGTCCCATGTGTGCACACATATTGATGGCTATGCTCAAACATACATATATACACATATGAATATATATACACATATACACAGACATATATGTAACCTGCACCTGGGAACACTCTAGATAAGCCAAGATTCCGGTATTTCTTTAGGGCCAGGCTTGAGTATGATGATAAATTTCAAATTCATCCCCAGTCATTTCCCTGACAGAGCACACAGCTTCTTATGCACTATATCGAGAATTTGCATGGTTTCCCTTATAAAAAGAAATTGCTTCTTCAAACATGAAAGGCGAATGGAATCATTTCATGGCATGCTTTGAGATAGCTGCCTCAATACAAATGAAACCCACGTGGAGGGCCCTTGCTAAGTGTTGTGTTTGGTACAGTCTGCATTGTAAAGTTGAATTGTACTAAAGGCTCAGTTCCCACTGCAGGAGATTAGCAGTTCAGCTCATCCACAGCACTCAGCGCTGGTCTCCGTGTTTCCAAGCGCTCACAGCGGTCACAAGTCTTTGAACTGAAACCTGCCCTTCATTTTTAAAGCATGCAGAGTTGGGACCTTCTTCAGAAAGTATTTTTATCACTCTTTATTTGGAAATATTTTTATTCTTAACGACAGTAAAACTATATGGAAATGAAACATTGGTGAGAGCAGAAGAGATGGTCATATAGGAAGCTGTATTGACAGACTTGTCATTGTTTGACTTTAACATTGTGCATTTAACTTAAGGATATACATATGTGTTTTATATTGGATATCATGTATCCTAGTCTTCCTGCTGCTGCTGTAATAAAACACTGACAAAAAAAAAAGGGTCTTGTAGAGGAAAGGGCTAATTTGTCTATACCTTCCAGCCATAATACATCACTAGGGGAGTCAAGGCAGGAACCCTGAGGGCCTTGAAGCAGAAACCATGGAGGGATGCTGATTCCTGGCTCTCTCCTTCACAGGCTAGAGCTTGGGTAGCTGCATTACACAGCACAGAGCCACCTGCATAGGGATGGTGCCACCCACAGTGGAATAGGCTATCCTGCATCAATTAATCTGGACAATGCCCACACATACCTGCCCACAGATCAATCTTGTAAAGACAGCTGCTCACCTGAGTCCCCTTTTATTCAGATATACTTTCAGTTGAAGCAGGTGCTGCTCTTCAGGCATGGCTGTCTCCTAATGCATCATATATTCCAAGTTAGCCTCAGCTTCATGGTCCTCCTGTCTCAGCCTTCTGAGTACAGAGAATAAGATTATCTCTGCAATTAAAAGGCTTTAAATGTTCACATTAAGGAATCTGTCTTAATAAGAAACTAAATTTATATTTCTGGATGCAGTCTAGAGTCTGTGTTCAATAATGTGTGTTAAAGGCACTTTATTTTAACTAAACAGATTATCCTTCCTTTTCTAGATTGCTGTCACTTTCATAGGTTACTTTCTGTATTTTGTCAAAGCTTTTCTACTTTTTCAAGTTATGGATTATGTTACTTGTATTTATTGAGTGCCTGCTATATTCCAAAGAGAGAAACACCAGTAAGAAATGGTAGAAAGAATAAGAGAATATTGGCCGCTAATCTTTGGTATGTGTTAAATTTATAGGCAAATTAGTGCTGTGTGGATTACAAGTTCACTTTTATTTTAAAGAACACTAGATTATGGCCTTAAGTATGTATGTAAATTTTGAAAGTTCCAGCATGCAAAAAAAAAAAAAAAAAAAAAAAAAAAAAAAAAAAAAAAAAGCGAATCATGGCAAAGGCCAGAACAGATTGTTTTGTCTTAATATAAAAGACAAATAAATCCAGTAATATCTAGAATGAAGAATAAAATACATCAATGCCTTTTTGCAGGATTTCTTTAAAACTCTTATTATTGTTGTTATGGATTCAAAAACCTTGTTACTCTGAGTCCAAAGTATTAACTTTTAAAAGACATTTTCTATTTCTTTCAAACGATAATTTTTGGTTGTTTCCAGGAGCACACTAGATGTAAGTGTGCTAGAACAAAGATATTATCTAACTTTTAGGGCTCAAGAGTATTTACTTTGTCATTAGAAGCTGTTGACAGGAATCTTTTGAGTCTCTTGATTCCAATCATGCATCTATACTTAGTATTCATTAGACTAGAAGGAATGTCCAGTTTGCAGTCTACAGCCCAGTGAGCTAAGGACAGCTACAGGTGCTGTCCAACATACAAGCCCACAAACCTACTGGTGACATTATGAGAGCATTTTGTGATTTTTTTTTTGTTTTGATATGCTAGCATGAGTCATTTTGCTCCTTTGGAATCTTGTATGGCTCTTTCAGAGGTGTGGACAATAAGTTCTGTGCAGCAGTGTAGCAGCAGGGAGAATGAGGAAGTCGTAGGCAACTCTAGTACAGCAGTGATTGGGAGATATGTGGTTTCTGTTACAGTTAATCAGTTTTCCCAGTATCTGCCACTTTGATCTTAATAGAGACCACTTTCTTTTTCAATAAAGACTTTTAGAGTATCATTCAGTAAGACGTTTCTAAGCAAATATTGACTTTTAACATAAGAATTTGAAGTTAAGGGAGTCTTATTCACTCTGTACTGAAGCCCTAGAGACTAGCTATTAGTTTTGAGTTACTCTCAGCCTTCGAGTGAGGAAAGACTGTTCCCAGGGGCTTGGAATTTGGATAGTAGTGGGCTCAGTCACACAGATTCAGGGAAAATGCTCGTCTTCTCTGCTTCTAACTCTTTTAGACTCTACCAAATGCACAGAAATCTTTTATCCAAAGAGATGGTGACATCCAGTTTCCTTTGTAAAGTCAGGAGTCCTGGGGAACATGGTTTTTTTTTTTTTAATTTACTTATTAGTTCTAGTTAGGGAACAAGCTTGTTTCACATGTAAGTCCCTTCTCCCTCTCCCTCCCCTCACCCCCATCCCTTATCCCCCATCCACAGCCTACCCCCCACTCCATCCACCCACCACTCCCCAGGT